GAGAGGCTTAAAGTCTTCAGATCAGAGTCATCCTTGGCATAACTTAGGAAGGCTCAAGTTACATCAGCATGGACTTGGATCACAGAATAGATGCTTTCTTCTTTCATTGTTGATGATTCATCTGAATTTACATTTTTATAAATAATAACAGATTTTTCCTTCTGAGCTTCCTGTCGAACCTCAACTAATACATAAACTTGCTTTGCTCTGCCTTCTACCTCCTGCATTTTCTTGTTACATTTTCTAGTAGCATTTTCTATCATCTTCAACGATGGCATTAGCTTCCTTTCTTAGAGGAAGTTAGAGGAGCTCACAAGATCACTGATAGCATAAAAGTAGCCATGTTTCAAATTAAAAAATCACCTGCTTTCAATTTGTTTTTTCCATTTCAATGCTCAGATCTCACATTTTTGGAAAAGCCCCATATTGGAAAGCCACAGACAATTCCCACTCTGACACTTAGAGTATAGTATATTACTAATATCTTCATTTTTAAAAAATCAGAAGTGGAAATAAAATGCCTCGGCTTCTCTTGGGTGCAGAAGAGCTCCCCTAGCTGGGTCCACATCAGGCTGATGCAGCTAGCTGGTCCAGTGATGCTGAATGATGAATCAAGCATCCCTTAGCCCAAAAACAAGCCGCAGGGCTGGATTTGGTTTCATCTGAACACCTCCTCAGCTCACGCTCTGTGCTCAGCTCTTATGTCAGGCAGCAGAGAGCAGCAGCATGCCTAACTTTACAACTTTACCAGTTCTCAGGAAGAGAAATCTGAGAGAGAAGGAAGCAATGCATCCCCTCCCTTCTGACTCCACATATGCTGCTGGTCCCCAAACTCAGCTGCCAGCTCCCTTCAGTCTGAAGGGCACAGAGGAGTCTTGTGCCTTCCTGCTGCCCCTGCTCTTCTGCAGAGCTGTTGGCTAGTGTGATCTGCATGAAGACTGTATGATTATATTAACCAAAACCTGAAGTTGTACACCTAGCTTCTCTCGAATCAGCCTAAAGAGAAACTCAAAGGTCTGGATTTGTGCCAGTGTAACAAGCAAAAGGAGTACACAGACCAAGGTAGTTGTGAACACCACCATTTTCCTGCATCATCTCCTCGTCTTTCTTGCAAGTGCTGAAGAGTGACATTGGGTGTATGAGCAAAGTTGATTACTACCTTATGCATGTAGCTTTGCATCTGATGCCACTTCTACCCATCTGCTCACCAGTCTCCTGGTTTTGTCTCACTTTCCACTTTCTTTGGATCTGTTAAATTTCCATCGAGTCTCTCAGAACCTCTTGATATTTTTGACCTTTTACAGGCACGCAATCTCTGTTCCACCTTGGGGGAAACTCCACTGCAAAAAATCCCTTCTGCCCCAGCTACCTCGCCTGGACTGGCTTCCCCATCCTGTTATTCTCAACAAGTCCCTTCTAAAATGTAACCTGCTAAGTCTGGTCTCATATGTCAAACATGTGATGTTGCACATGTTGGAACATCTAATGACAAAGCAACTTCAAAAATAAAGACATCGTCCTAGCTTGTTGGCTTCTTGAAGGTTTTTAAGCTGCCATTAACCACAGACTTCCTCTTGGCTGAAGCCTGTGAGTGACAACATGTGCAAGCAGAGAGTTCATTAACAGTCAGGATGTTTGAGGGTGGTGCTCCCTGTGCAAAGCATATTTAATTTTATCAGCTAATCAAGCTATTTTTAATCACAAAGCACTCTTTGAAAATGACAAGAGCATGCAAGAGCTGAAAGATGGATGGCTCAATATAGAGGCAACTATTTCTATTTTGAAGCCTCTCCTGAGAAGATAAAAATTATTCTCAGGATGAAATGCTGTATTCCAGCATTTACTGTCTCTCTTGTCAGTAGAAGCACTGTGGGAGACAGAAGAGCAAAAATTAAGTTAGAGATAATACACAGGAAGCCAATGTTATGCTAGATATAAAACAGCCAGTACTTTCAGCGACAAGCTTGGAAACTAGAAAGGAAATACTGCAATACTAAAGTATGCAGAGCATGTTATGCTCATATTATTTTTTCCCCCTTTACAAAATAACATTAAGTACAGAATTATCATCAAGAAATGGCAGGAGCTAGATGCCAAATGGGCAGACTGCTTCGCAGGTCAGTGAAGAAGAACATGGCTGTCTCCTTCAGGAGACAGAACTGTCATCATCTTGGAAGGAAGAACAGAAGATCACTTGTATATGTACGTGTATATGTAAATAACATCTTTATGGTTTATAGAAAAAGCCCAAATGGGAGAAAATTATCCTCCTTATCTGTGCCAAGGGACAACACATTAGTATAGGCTGAAAACCAAGCAAAGAAAACAGCTCTATTCAGACCAGCAATCTGCTCCTCAATGCTCAAATTAGGTACTTCTTGTGACCCCTCAGGAAGGCTGGAGCTCGGCAATTTCAAGCCTAGCTCAGGCACCTGCTGGGTGGCAGAATAAATACTGGCTTTTCTGGAATCTCCTCATGCCAAAAAAGTCCTAACCCAAAACAACTGAAGTAAACACTTACAGCCTAATCCTCTTGCGGTAGAGGAACCGTTGTGAATGTGCAGAACAAAACATTTACTGTCATTCTTTTTTGGTTTGATAATCTTTTAACAACTGTGATTTTATCTTTACTAACAGATTTAACCTGTGGTAAAGTGATTTGCATCTTTCCCTTTTTCTAGAATAGTTGACACAGAAGTTTGTAGCTCCATTGTCTGAAAAAAAATCAGCGTAATACGTACATAGTTTTATTTTCATGGTTTTTCATTTGTCTGACAGGCTGTCTTACTCTGAGATGTTTGATTCTTTTCAAGACAGCTTTACTTTAGTTAAGCAGCTTTAAGACCTTGATTTTAGTTCTTAGACAAGTATGTGTCATAGAAACCAATAGTAAATTAGTTTAAGGTAACACATATTGCAGCGTGGCTCATTGGTCAGAAATGGTGCTGATGCTACTGCCACCTCGGTGCTTTGTCTTACAAAAGGGAAACCCTGGCATCTCAGAGCTATCCATTCTCATCTGCACTTCTCAGAATCCCATCTTGGTAAATCTACCCGAATTACTATTCCGCTTGATGTCACAGAAGTCAACCACACCAGAGACACCTCTCAAAATACTAGATATGCCTGTTCTTTCTATATGGGAAGGGGTTTTCTGGCAAGACTATGACCTAATTTTGGCAACTGTGTTTTTTTTCTGTTGTCCTCCTTTAGTTGCTTGAGGGTCTGGATGACATCCTGGTATTTATCGAGTCAGAGGTGAAACTCACACTGGCAAGTATGAAGGCAGAATTTCCTTTCCAATGCTATAATTTCCACACTTTTCTGCTCAGGAGGTTACAAGTCTTTTTTGGCACCATCTACTCACTCAGCACACTATTAAGGGCAAGAAGCCCAGTCTTTAACACTTATTTAACAGGGGTCAAATAAAGCATTAGCAGGCAGACTGCTGGCTCACCACCTGGACAGAAGCATGCTTTTCCTCTCACATTGATTTCTGCTTCTTGTACTTTGCCTGACAAATTCGGAATAGGATTATTCTTTAATAACTGGACATTCACACTATGTGCAGCAGCTTCAGACTGTGTATCTATATATCTGTACCATAGAAGGAGCATTTTTAGAACCCATGTAGCTAGTGGGTTGTTTCTGTTCTCCATTGCATGTGATATGGTTGATGAAGGTTGTGTCACGTGTCTAACCACAGGTGAATATATACCACATAGACTCTTCTGGGAGTCAAAGTATCACGCACTGAGGGCAAGAACTGCGTTATCCTCTCTGAATTTCACTCTGCCCACCATACTTAAATATTAGTAGTATTTTACAGAGGATGCCACCTATTGCCTAGAGAACAGTCAGCAGCTCCCACTACACCATCAGCAGAATGGGAACCTCACTTTCCTTACAGCTGGATGCCTTTACCAGGAACCCAGGATCATGGTCCATCTCTTTCTGTGAGCAACTTTCAGGGTCAGGCAGGGGCTGGGCTGGAGATTTTGAGACTATACATTTGAATTTAAACACCTGAAATCAACATCTTGTTGACTTTCCATCCCACAATAGGCTTACTTAAGCTAATCTTAGGTGTCTAAAAAACTAGAAGTCTAAGTTTGAGCTGGTAACTTTACGTTCCTACTAGTTAATCAAGAGGAGGGTTATCAGGAAGGTATCAGACATCCAAGACAGGTTGAGTGTCCCTCTGTGGGTGCCCATTTCTTCCTACCAGCTGCAAAGGGTGACCAGTTCAGACAGACACAGAACTTTTAGGTGTATAAATTGGAGCAGAGTCATGATCGAGATGTCCGCATCCCATCAGCACACACACGTAGATAAAAGCGTGGCCGAGAAACCCCGCAGCTCGCTATAGCGCCAAACTGCAGCACTCCTGAAACTCACTGCAGATTTTAATAGCTGTCATCCATCCTAAAAATACTTTTGCACCGCTTCGTGCTACTGTAGCGTGTTGCGTGTTCTTTCTCCGGAGCTCCGGTGAATAACAGGACCAACCGCTCCTCCTCGGGACACCCTCGGCTGCTCGGTACCTGCCCTGGCGAACATACCTCCTTTTCGGTGCGCCCCTTCCCGGGCCGGGGTGACTCCCGCCGTGCCGAGCCCGCCCCTCCGGCCCTGCCCGGGGGGGAGGGAGGGGGGCCGGGTGAAGGGCGGCCTGGAGCCCGGCGCAGCGGCGGCGGGAGCAGCGGGAGCAGCAGCAGCCCGCGCCCCGGCGGCGGCTGCTCTGGCGGCGGGGGCAGGTGCGGGCGCTTCCGCGTCGCGCTACGAGGAGGAGGAGAAGGAGGAGGCGGCGGCGAGAGCGGGCGGGCGGCGCGGCCAGCGGCCCCGAGCCGGGCCGGCGTGCCCGTGGGCGTGCTCCCTGGCGGGGAGGACCGCCCGCCGCCCACATCCCCGCCGCCGCCGCCGATAACTTTGCCTCTCTGCAAAAAGCCGTCCTCTGGCAGCCAGAGTCGGCGGAGCACCGGCGGTCCGAGCCGCCCGCCGCAATGAAGGGCCGGCGGCGGTGGCGGGGCGAACACCGTCGCTTCGCCGCGGTGCTGGTGCTGTACACGCTGCTGCTGCTCCTGCTGGTGCCCTATGCGCTGGACTACGGGGCCAGGCGCGGGCGGGCGGACGAGGAGCCGCTGCTACGGCGCTGCCCCAGCCTGGAAGAGGCGCTGAGCGAGTGGGGCTGGGAACAGCGGCCGCCGCTGGACGAAGAAGAGGAGGAGGAGGATGAGGCGGGCACGGCCGGGGCGGCGGGGAACGGCAGCGCCGGGGCGGCGGGGAAGCGGCACATTTACCTGCACGCTACCTGGCGCACGGGCTCCTCCTTCCTGGGGGAGCTCTTCAACCAGCACCCCGACGTCTTCTACCTCTACGAACCCATGTGGCACCTGTGGCAGGCGCTCTACCCGGGGGACGCGCTGAGCCTGCAGGGCGCCCTCCGCGACATGCTGCGCGCCCTCTTCCGATGCGACTTCTCCGTCCTGCGCCTCTACGCTGCCCCGCCCGCTCCCCGCGACCCGCTGGCCCCCGCCCCGCCCGCCGCCGACAACCTCACCACGGCCAGCATCTTCGGCTGGCGGACCAACAAGGTGATCTGCTCGCCGCCGCTCTGCCCCGCCGCCCCTCGGACCCGCGGGGAGATCGGCCTCGTCGACGGCGCCGCCTGCGAGGAGAAGTGCCCGCCGCGGGCACTGCGGGAGCTGGAGGCCGAGTGCCGCAAGTACCCGGTGGTAGTCATCAAGGACGTGCGGCTGCTGGAGCTGGGCGCGCTGCTGCCGCTGCTGCGGGAGCCGGGCCTCAACTTGCGGGTGGTGCAGCTTTTCCGCGACCCCCGCGCCGTCCACAACTCCCGCCTGAAGGCGCGGCAGGCGCTGCTGCGGGAGAGCGTCCAGGTGCTGCGGAGCCGCCACCGCGCCGAGCCGCGGGGGTCGCCCCGCCACCAGCAGCAGCATCTCCTGCTGCCGCCCGGGCTGCTGGGCGGCGGGCGGGCGTCGCAGCCGCAGCACCGCGCCGAGTTCTTCCTCGGCGGCGCGCTGGAGGTGATCTGCCAGGCTTGGCTCCGCGACCTGCTCCTGGCCCGCCGCGCCCCGGGCTGGCTCCGCCGCCGCTACACGCAGCTGCGCTACGAGGACCTGGTGCGGGAGCCCCGCGCCGAGCTGCGCCGCCTGCTGCGCTTCGCCGGGCTCACGGTGCCGCCCGCCCTGGAGGACTTCGTGCTCAACATGACCCGCGGAGCCGCCTACTCCTCCGACCGGCCCTTCCTCATCTCCGCCCGCGACGCACGGGAGGCCGTGCACGCTTGGCGGGAGCGCCTCAGCCGCCAGCAGGTGCGGCAGGTGGAGGCGGCGTGCGGCGAGGCCATGAGCATCCTCGCCTACCCTCTCAGCAGCGGCGACGCCCGGTAGCGCCCTCGCCCCGCGTCCCGGACGGGCCCGAGGGCAGGCGGGTGCTGTCGGGCAGAGCTGAGCGCGGGGGTTCACTGCTGGCACGGTGGGCGCCCAGTTCGTTGGCTGGGCGCTCCCTAGGGCCAGCCCCGGCTGAGGGACACTTGCCTCGCCTCGGGTGCAGGCAGCGCGGCAGGGTCCAGGCCCCCCGTCCCGCTGTAGTTTCAGTGGGGCTGTGCAGGGCAGAGGGGATGATTTATTTAAGAGAAGCGTTTGGTAAGAGTGTCCTCCGAGTACGGCATCAATCTTGGAGCCATTTCAACTTGAAGCTGTGATCGTGTACAAAGCACAAGTGTGCTTCAAAAAACTGCATCAAAACTTAGAAATCCCCCAAATGAAGACTCTCAGCAAGGAACTAAGAGGGCCTGGAGGGTGCTGCTGTGAGAGCACTGCCCTCCCTGAGCGCTGAAGCACGGTCGGCTCTGTCCTTCCGCTACTGAAACACGTACAAGAGGCTTCTGTGAAGTCGCTGCAAGGGTCAGTGGAGGCCTGGGCGGGCAGGAGGGTGCCTGCTCAGGGCAGGACTCGAGTCTTCTGCTCCCAACCTGCTCCGTCCCTTCTGCGGGGACGGTCTCTGCCCCTACAGGTTGCTGATGCTGTGGGGAGGGGGCGCTTTCTAAGGGACAGGGAACCGTGTCCAACTCTGTCCATCAGCAGGGTAAGCGGTTGTGCAGAGAGGGTAAGCATTCTCCTGCTTACATGTTTCAAAGATGTTTGTGGCAGAAATCTTTGCTTTTCTGAAGAAATCTGTAATTCTTATGGAAGTAGGATATTTTTTAATATATGCTGATACAGTTTGGTGATACTTATGTGAGATACAGGTGACTAATATGTTTCTTTGGGACATGTATAGGGTGACTGTAACTGGAAAACAAAAGCTTGATATTTCCATTTTGTTTTCTCAGTCAGATGAGAGAATCACTTTTCTTCCCTTGCTTCCGGGCTGACATATTGTGCCGTGCACGGGTTCCTCCTGGTCACATCCCTTCCGAACAATAACATCCTTTCAGCTGGCAACGCCTGGACAAAAGCAAATGTTTCCTAAGAGGCTAAGACAAATTAATCATGAAGTTCCCAAATAAAACCTTGTATTAAAGAATAAAAGGGAAAAAAAGAAAACCCTCAAGTTTTATTTTAGATTTTAAAATTACATTTTCCTGCAAATATCCTCTAGCTTATATGAGAAGGGTGTGCGTGTGTGTGTATCTGTGAGTACCTTTGTTTCTTAATTTCTTAATGTGGTTGTAGAAGGTTCAATTGTAATTTAGGGATGAAGCTTTTAACTTCATAGAGACTGCTTTTGAGTCCATTACAGTATGTCAGTGTTTAAACAGCCTCACGAGAGTGTACAGGATTATAGGGATGTTTACATGCAGTCCTCAAATACAATCTGAGAACATGAACTTCAAATTGAGGATGATCCAGGATCAGGAAGAAAGCAGTATTTGTATAAAGTGCTGGAAATAAAGGCAGTTCAAAGATGTTACATTACCTTGTAGTAAACATTTCAGTTGCATTGTAGTTTTTTTGTGCTGAGTGTTGTGCTGTAAAGCATGTCAGTGAGTTAGTATGAACATTTATTTTAGCTCTTTTTCTTTCTTGACCTTCCCACTTGAGAATATGTTGGCACAAGAAGCAGGTTTCTTTCATTATATAACAGAAAAATGTGTTTTAGCAAATCTATCCATTTCCCAGTAGTGTGCTTCATATGATTCTGCATCCTGGGGTTTCTGTTTGAAGTAAAAATTACAGGGGCTCATTTTGTGCTGGAACAACCTTGTGTATTATGTAAGGGATATTTCTGTATTTTCTAACAGTGCCTGTGACATAGAATTTGTCTCTGAGTGTTCTAGTGGCATTTAATAATGGTATTTGTGTAGATGGACAATACCTGTATTAATGCCTTGATAACCTGAGTCAGGTAACCTATTTTGGAAAGCTTTTCTGAGACTACACCCATCCTGGCCTGTACTGACAGGTTTGGGAAGAAAATAAGATTTTCATGCATGCCAAAAGATGATACGGTACTTATTTTCTTACACTGGATTTTAATCTCCCATTTAATGTATCTCGTTGATTTGTTCTTAGCTAGTTGCAGCCACAGAATTGTATGATGCGTCTGCTAAACATTTGCTTCACCTTGGCAGGGAATCTCATTTTGCTGTTTCGGGTGGTAAATGTCTTTCATAGATTTTTAGAAATCTACACTTAGTTTCACTTACAATCATTCATCATGATGAAGAAAGAAGTGTGGCCATCTAGCTTAACTTGATTCTTATAGCTGGAAAGAAATCCACTAATTATTTAGTACTTTCTGAAGCAGTTTCCATATTTGAACTACAAAGATAGTGAAGAGTCTAGAGGGGAAGCCACATGAGGAGTGTCTGAGGCCAATTGGTTTGATCAGCCTGGAGAAGAAGAGACTGAGGGGAGACCTCATAGCAGCTTAAAGCTCCCTCACCAGGGGAGGAAGAGGGGCAGAGACTGATCTCTTTTCTGTGGTGACAAGTTAAATGACCTGAGGGAACACCATGAAGCTGTGTCAGGGGGGTTTAGGTCGGATATTAGGAAAAGGTTTTTACCCAGAGAGTGGTTGGGCACTAGAACAGGATCCCCAGGGAAGTGGTCACACCACCAAGCCTGACAAAATTGAAGAAGCATTTGGACAATGCTCTTAGGCACATGGTGTGACTCTTGGGGATGGTCCTGTGAAGGACCAGGAATTGGACTTGGATGATCCTTGTGGGTCTCTTCCAACTCAGGGTATTCTATGATTCTATGATAGATGTGTTTTCTCTATCAAAAATTATTTCTATCAACAAAAGTTGTTCACTAGCCCAATTGCTCTTTATTAGTGATTAATTTAATATTTTTTTTCACTCCAAGCTGTCTTGTAGGGTTGTTTTTTCTTAATTTTTGTATAATGCAAAAAGGGCTCTGTTGGGCCAAATGTACAAAATATAGCAAGTGCAATTTGTGGTTTGTATTCAGGGCACCTGAGTTCATTAGAAAACTCTTCTAAAAAATCCACAGGGATTTATCCAAAGTTGAAAAAGGAGTGAGTAGCCCAGAGTGACATCTTAGAGTAGTATCTGCAAGAGTATGTAAGGCTGGATGACAGTTGCTTAATGACTCATGGTGTGACGTGTGTGCTTTGGTCACTAGAATGCTTTCTGAAATTCTCTACCCAAGGAGGACAACTAGGGCTCACCAACAAATGCATCCCATTTTTCTCTTAAGGGTGTTTTGATGGCATTAGAAAACATCGTTCAGGATGCTTACAGCATATACTTGTTGGTCCTGAAACTCAGACATTGAAGGAAAAACAAATGTACTGTCAAATGTCAATGTTGGTACTTACCTGAGAAGACAGAAAAAGGTCTGATTAGGATGACCAGCACGAAGTTTCACTGGCAGAGGTCTTTGGAAGTAAGCAGAACTTGCTGAAAGCAGGACACCCGTGGTTAGACTGCATTTTGAGAACAGCTGGACATTTATGGCTTGGCCATTTTGAAGTAAAGTCACACTTCTACTAAATGATGTAGGAAACGGAACCCTAATGCTCTTTTAGAGCAGGGGATGGCATGGTAAGCAAGGGAACAGTAAACACGTTTTTATAGCCAACCTGAACTTGGCAAACTTAGAATCAGAGGGCAGGACTTTGCCCTAGAGTTTTAGTAGTTCTGACTGAGATTTGTTAAAATTACCTACTTGTGCTACATTACATGTAAGGGATTAACAACTTTAATGTATTAAAAAGTCATAGTGGGAAATGGGTGCAAAACGGACAACTCCTCACAAGACTTATTTCTGTCACCTGTTTTTACTTCTAGTTGTCACACGTTCTGCCTTAATGGAGGTAGAAACTTGAGTACTGTAATTATTCATAAAAGGCTGTGATATTTCCACACTGGAATTGTTAACTGCTCTTTTACAACATCATCTATATATTTAAATTGTTTCTTTCAAGGAGGCAAACTGTACTGACATACTTGTGGGAAATGCTGAAAGTCCAGGGCCAAGAAATACTTGGCCCCTGCCTTAATTTTACTGCTTAGAACATTACTGATGGAGTCCTTGTAGATATCCACAGTACGTACTTGCATACTTCAGGTCCAATAGAAATAGTTTAGTATCAGTTGCAGTATTTAACAGAAGTGTTAGAATACTTGTGGAGTTACTTATTTAACAATTTCAGAATTGCATGGGTCATTTTAGCCCCCACCCCCCCCATCAGTTTGTGCATGAAGAAAAATCCTGAGTTTCTGCATTAGGTTCTCAATATCACCACTTTCAGTAAAGACCAATGATAAGAAATACGTGCAGAGTTTCTGGATTTATTATGATAATGCAAATAAACAACTAAAACCCTGAGAGCCAGCAAGCCCAACAGCATGTTCTGTTCCTTTCTTGAACACAAAGAGCTGTCACTGAGACTCTCTGATGGTGCATGTCATTTCTCAGAGTCACCGTACAGTCCGTGCAGCACTGGGAGTATCTTAGATGTTACTTTGTCATTCCTATTTAACTTGACACGACACCTACTGCCATGGAGAATGATATGGGAAAAATACAATTGTCAAACCTGACACTAGCAGTTTTCAACACCCCATTGGTGGAGTGTGTGTGTGAGGGGACAGGGTCCAGATTGTCCTTGGCTGTGGTTTAAAGAGATGAATGTTAGATCCAAACTTGTTGAGGCGGTGGGTTTCAATGATGAAGGGACCTAGTTTGTTGCTGAGACATATCTCTGGCAGTCTTAGCTCTGGACAACGAGCTGGAAGCGGATTTTAACATTTTAGGACTTGGAATCTGTCTGGGTATTAAGTACTGGGAAATTCTTGCTTCCAGCACTGAGGTGTTAAGCTCTGCTGCTAACCTATGGCACCTGCAGCACCATTTCTTCGTGCTGTTAAGTGGGAATCCAGCCTTTCCCTGGCACTTCCAAACTTGTTGCCCTGTTTCTAATTGTCCAGCTTCAACTGTACATAGGCTGAAGCTTTTTGTCATGGGCTTAAGGTTTAAGTCTCTTAAGGGAATTTCAGTTGAAACAGTGCATATTCTTTTGGACTTAGGATGTGGTGGCCTTTTGCCTGTGTTCAAATACTCCTGAAGATACTTCTTTGAAATCATTTGTCAATTCAGTGCTTTGGGACAGGAACTCCCGTTTGGGTAGCAGAAATGATCTCTGTGTAGAGGATGTCCCCTTTGTTTTGTTTTTCTTTACCTCTGCCTTCTATTCTGATTTGGCCAAATATATTAATGTTTGTATAAAATGGATAGCATGTGTTCAGTAGAAGTGGTTTTGGTATGTGTGTGTATCTTTATTTTATACCAAATAAAGTCTGCATTGGTTTTATCTCCACTGAGCATGCACAAAACTCTTTCTTTCCCATAGAACACTCGGTGTTGTACAAGACATACAGCAGTGGGAATCCAAAGCATGTAATATGGCAGGGCCTGCAGTACTGGGCTGAGCAGGGAGGAGTCTGCCTTTCCTGGTTCCCACTGATGCCTTCTCCCCTAGCCCCTCTTTCCTTGTTGCTAGTATTCCTAAGGAAGGCTCCCAAAGCAAGTGCTCAGCTTTCTGGTGCTTAAATAATGTAAAGTACTGTAGGTTAGAGAGAGAAGACACTGATGACAGATGGGGTGAACCTGAGGGGATGGGGAAAGGAATTACCTTTAAGTTGTAGAAAGTGGGATTTTTTTTGGCAGATAGCTTGGCTGTGAGAGGGATGAGGAACTGGGATTTGATCAGTAGGAGCAGCTGTAAATTGTGACTGGTTTAACTGGAAAAGGCAGCTAGGAGTATGCGTGAGGGAAGGAAGGAACACGGAGAGAGCAAGCTGGGAGGAGAAGTAGGGAACAAGAACTGCTGAACTGCAGTGAAGTGCTGGCAATTGCCTGAGGGTATTGCTTGGAGCAGACAGAGGGAGAAACCTCAGGGGGATGGAGGGTGAGTTTGAGTCTGAACTGCAGGGGGAAAACTGTCTCAGTTCAAATGGCTGTGCAGACAACTGGCACTGGACCAGCCCCCCGGGTGGAGTGCTGGTCCACAGGGCAATGGTGACTTGCCTTCTGCTACAACTTTTTCAGCCCACATAAACACATTTCTCCTGCAAACCAGACTCTTCTTTTTCCCTAAATTCCATAAGGAATTTATTAACTGCCCCCCTGCTCTCCTAGCAGCATCAGAGTGGGATGCATGGGAAGAAGTGCTCTCTTGCAAAATGAAGGTTTTAAAGCTTAAACTTGTGAAAATAAAGTCTTTGCCCACCAGCTGCCTTTGCCTGAGCTGCATTTGGGAGTGCCTTTGCAGTCACTTCAGTGGGCATTACCACCAGAACAGAGGAGTCTGGAGGAGATCCTTGTCCATGTCCTTGGTTCAAGTGACAGCTGTTTGCACACAGGATTTAAAAGTCCCAGTTCTAGCAGTGACTCATGTGTGTATCACTGATACCTATTGTTTTCAGTATGAGCTTTTCAAAAAATGCCAGGAAACCTCTTGTATATGCACACTCTCACAGAGACAATCAATGCCTGTGCTGCAAAGTCAAGCACTGAAGGAGTCGGTGCCTGCTGCCTCCCTTTTCATACTCCTTGTCAGTCATTGTGTTGTTTTTTTCTCCACTGTAGCACTTGGTCAACACTCAACGCTGGACGCACCTGGGACAGGAATGGATCGTGCAACACGTCTGGCACAAGGAGCATTGCCCAGTCTGTGCCAGAAGTTAGAAAGCATGCAGGAATCTGGTGGGAGACTGAAGGAGTTGAAAGGATGGAGGCAGTATCTCATGGCTGAGGTATTCAAAAGCTCTCAGAGGAATTGGGCTCAGTCCCTGGTGCCACACTGTCTGTGAGATGTTGGACAAATAAGTTAGCTTTTCTGAAGAGGCCAAGTCCATATCAGGCTGACCAAAGCTGAGCGACACCTCTGGTATGCTGGAGTTGGCTTTGCAGAACTGCTGTAGCAGCAGTGTGCAGGTGTGCCTGGTCAGGGGGCATCGGTGGCTCAGAGTGACTGAACCCCTGAGTGAGCTAATTGTGAAAAGGGCAAATGTGCAGTGGCATTAACATGTTCTCTGCCCTAGCCATCCAAGTCCCAAGTGAATGAATTCATATTTTTAAGAGATACAGAGAAATGTCAAGTGAAATAACAGCCCTCTGTCTTGGAGAAGACCAAGATGTGTAGTTTATTTAGTCTCAAAGTCAAGGTTGAAAGAGGACAGTGCTGCACAGCAGCATGAACAGCAGAGTGGGAGAGAGGTAATCAAGCTATGAACAATACTGGCATAAAAACAGGGTTTTGTACATCAGCAATGAATCACTTCAGCCTGGAAGCTGGAAGAAGATGGGAATTTTTTTAACCATGAGAACAGCATGGCAGGAAGGGATGGAAAAAAAGAGACAACTCATTTTAAAAGACAACTCCTATAATTCAGATACAGAAAGGAACTGATATGGTAGACTATCACGTTATGGCAAGATATGAAGCTATGTGGTCCAGGAACCCTGTAATCTGTTTAAAGTTCTGTAAAGAGTGCTGAAGTCTCCTGAAAAATCAGCTTTAATGTACAAAAAGACTTGAGCCCCAATTTAAAGATGCTTTGTACATTTTCGTTTTGCTCTGTGAAAAAGAGGCAGTGCTGACTTCCATGGAAACATTAGTAAATAGTTTGTTCTGGAGTACTCTGCAATAGATTAGTGTCTCATAACATTTTCTATGAGGAAATCTGGTAATTGTGCCTTTGCCAGTATTTGAATAACAAATATTGGAGCTGTAGAATAAATCAAGACAGCACAAACCCCACACCATTAACCCAGTAATTTTTGCCCCATTTTTTTAAGGTGAGAGGAGCTGAGGGGAAAGGAGAGGTGGGGTGTGTTTGTATAAGCAAAGACTGTGTGGTTGTTCACTTGCAACGGGTAGAAATCCCAGCTGTGCCAGCAAGTGCAGGGTGTGGGACCACACAGCCCTAGCACTGCCCTCGCTGTGGTTGAGCTGTCTTTAATGCTTTGCCATACAGCTGTGAAATGAGTAGCCTCTCGTTTATTTATGCAGAGGCATGAAACTAGTTTCAGGTGTGCTATGGATAGCATTTAAAGTGCAGCACTTGTTAAAATAATGGGAAAGGGTTGTAGGAGATCAGGCCAAGTACAGCAGAGGTCTCTCTGATGGAAGGTTTAGAAATATTTTCTTGGCTTTTCACGGTCATTTAAGCTGCTGCTTGAGCAGGGATGACTTGAGTGAGTTGTTGTGGGTGTTCCTCCCCTCTTCTTTTTTCTCTTGCTTTTTAATAAAGCCAGTTTAAGAATAATTAGTGATACTTAGCTTTATCTCAAATGGATTTAGAGAGGACAGGATGAGACATTTGTTACCTGTCCTAAGCTGTTCTTAAAATAATTGATGATGAAGACTTCATATCCTGCATCAGTCATTTACTCCATTATGTCAGTATGTCCACTGTTAAAAATTGTTCTCAATCATCTGTTTGAATCATTCTTGATTCAGTTTAAACCCATTACTTCTCTTATTGGACGCAGAAAACAGCCTATTGCCATTGTACTATGCTAACTTGTTCTTGTCACAAGCAAATAACTGTAGGATTCTTTTTTTACACAATGAACCCTCCCAACTACTCAGCTTGTAAGCCCATTTGTTTCCAATTCAGGTCTCAATTTTACAATTTTTGTTTTGATAAAGCACTTTGATTTGTTCATCCTTTCATATTGATCAACTTCCATACACAAGTCCTAGTTCTGTCTTGATGCCACTAGACCATATAACCAGATAAATATTTCAGTCATTCATATAACCCCAATTTCTTGCATGAAAAGAGGTGCTTTTGCTTACCTGAAAATTGGTTTTGGATGTTCACAAAGGTTTTTATGTCTAAGATGTGGAAACTGGTAGAAAGCAGGACCCAGCCTTAAATTGCTTATTTCTGATTAATTGAGTGATTGTGGTTTTATACTGTGTAGTAAATGAGAAGCTGCTTTAGCATAAATTTCATTTTGTATCTTAAGTTGTTAATTTGAGACCATATCTTCCTATTGATTCTCTGAATTCTTTGTAAAGTACTTGTGCTAGTGGGGCTAGTTGGCTCTTCTCAGAACTTACAATTAAAGATTGGATGATGATAATAATAAAATCTAGCCATTATTTCTAAAACTTTGTTCCTTAATGGGAAAGGAGTGAAAATCTTGACTAGTAATAGAGGTTATATGTAGCTGCCTTGATACTTCTGCACTAGAAAATGGCCATCCTGGTGCTTTTAGATCCCCACCATAGATGGGTTAAAGTGTTGCTTGTAAACTGGAGATGCTAACTTTGAAGGAAGCAGCTAGTGCATAAACTTATCTCTAAACTGAGTTTCAGGTTGCTTGGAGCTGCCAAAGTGTGTCTGGTCATGTCTGTACCTACAGCTTCACAGATTCCCACCAGGAAGAATTCCAGTTTGGAGAAACAGAGTTCCTGAGGGCTGACCGTGGAGCATCCTTTAGCAGGCAGAGGCAGAGAGAAAAACTTCTTTACTGAGTACAGATCAGGTGAGTGATGCCCCAGTCCTCATGGCAAAAATCCTATCCTTCAGAAGAGTTAGGTTGTGCCTTTAACAAACATTCTTTTAAAAATCTTTACTATTGCATGGAAGAAAAGGTCCAGGGATAAGTGGGAGAGAAGTCTCTTGTGATCTGTTACAGAACAGCTAGAAAAATTTCAAGCAAGACATTTAATTAATAAAACTTTTCCATCTTCTAACGATGCTTTCATCTGGGGACTTATTTCTAAATGCCTGCAGGGCTTCATCACTGCTCTACCTATGAAATGTTCGTTACAATATTGAGAGGTTTTAAAACTGTAAAGGTAAAAACCATCTAGGGAAGGTGACAGTTGCTCCTTAAACTAAACCAGCTGTAGTATCAAAAGTATCTAACTGTAAGCAGTAATTTGAATACCTGTGATATCATAAGTGCAATTAATATGGAGCAAAGTTTGCATCCTTTGAAATCTTTTACATCCTGACTTGACAGTCAGGTTTTGGAATAACAGCCAAAAGGTAAAATTAGGTTGATATTATAACCAAGTGCTTTCATACATGCATAGTATTATTCTTCAAATAAAGTGTGAAATTCAACAAGGAAAAGAATTCACACCCAACTTTGCAGATTTTATGGATTAAAGGCCCAGTATGGACCACCTTCCTTTTTAGCAGCTTTTTGGATATTTTTTTTTTTTTTTATTTACTGCTGCCTCTGCCTCACACAGCTGTAGCATCTGTATTGAAGCATGCAGCTAGGGATAGCTTTTAGCACCCTGAGGGTAGTTTTGCTTACATTTGACCATCACATTGCAACAGCTAATTCCCTGCTAGTGCAGGGAGAACCATGGAAATTTGCTGACATTCCCTTCTCTTCCCTTTCTAAATACCGGTAGCCAAGGTAAATCACATCTCATCCTGTTTATTTTTCCAGTAGGGTTTTACCAACATGGATGTTACTTGTGCCTGAGGAGACCTTCTCCCATGATCAATTAGATGAAACTGCACTATGCACCCTAGGCTCCCTTCTCACTGCCTGAAGCTGCTCAACACCACTGCTTCTCTGGGGTCTAAACATAAACTCCTGCCCTTGGCTGAAGAGCCCAAATGAGCTGGTTTCAGCTGGGACAGAGTTAATTTTCTTCAGAGCAGCTACTTTGGGGCTGTGTTTTGGGTCTGTGCTGGAAACAGTGTTGATAACACTGCTATTGCTGAGCAGTGCTTGCACAGAGTCAAGGCCTTTTCTGCTCCTCACCCCACCAGTGAGGAGTCTGGGCGAGCTCAAGGAGTTGGGAGGGGACACAGCCAGGACAGCTGATCCCGACTGGCCACAGGGATATCCCAGATCATATGGTGTCATGCTTGGCATACAAAGCTGGGGTAAGAAGGAGGAAGGAGAGGACATTCAGAGTGATGGCATTTGTCTACCCAAGTCACCACAATGCCTGATGGAGCCCGGCTTGCCTGGAGATGACTCAACACCTGCCTGTCCATGGGAAGTAGTGAACGAATTTCATGTTTTGCTTTGGTGTGTGCACAGCTTTTGCTTTACCTATTAAATTGTCTTTTATCTCAACCCACAAGTTTTCTCCCTTTTACCCTTCCAATTCCCTACCCCGTCCCACTGGGGGCAAGTAAGCGAGCATCTGTCTAGGGCTTAGCTGCTGGCTGGGGTTAAACCATGACACAGGCTCACAGATACATACAGTTCAAATCCCACTCTTCAGCTAACCCAGCCGGCAATTGGTTTCTCAAGGTCTGAGTACCAAGGGATCTGGATGTGAGCAGGTGGCTGGAGCTCCACAGGCACATCCAACCCCACAGCATCTGTCTAGTCCAATGCCTCCAGCACACTGGAGGGCACTAGGAAAGGTCTGCTTCCTCCTGTTTGCTTTTTTAAAATTCACCATCACCTCACAAGGCAAACTCAGCAGCGTAATAGGACAGAAACAATTTTCTATACAGGATGACCAGCATACAGCAAGAGGTGGGGCACGGAGAAGCATAGAGAAGAACTCTCTCCCTCATTGTAGTGTGAAAAATAAAAGCACTGCTGGAAAGATGCGGTTGGAAGTTCTAGAAAAAGACAGGTACATTTCAGTACTAGGGTTGGTATTGAAAATTTCAATGTGATAAACCACATTTCTCTCTGTAGCTGTGGCACGTGTTTAATTACTTATCCTTTCTAGAATAAAGCATATTTTCAAGATACCTGTAGTCTTACCTCATGTTATCATTCCCTTTTTCAGATTTTATGTATTCATTTAGTATATAAATTCTATTTATTGTGCCATAACAAGAGAGTAGACTTGGTTTTGTTTAAGATTTTTAATAGGGATGGATTTGATAATTTTATTTCACTGATCAAATGGCTCAGGATATGTAGTGTATTTAGAAATAGTCACATTTTCAAGCATAACCCTACACAAATCTGAATGTATTCTTCTTAAAAAAAAACTCAGCTCCTAACTTCAAAAACACACATGGCTTATGTTACTTGAAGTGCTTTGCAGAAATCACTTTGTCCTGGAGTGTGGATTAGTTTAGCAGGAATGGTTTTTATTTTGTGAACTCAGTCTTGGTTAGGAAAAATAAGAAGTAACTCGATTAACAAAATTCAGTTGATTTGAGAAAATTTAGCTCAGTCACAGTAGAGGTGCTCTAGTCTTGGAATAGAAGCAATGTCAGATTGATAAACATCCTTTATTGATTATATTTAAGAATACACAGGGGCAAAGGAAGTCAGTGTGCAGAATGTCTGTAGCTCTTCAAGCAGAATTTCATTCTGGTCACCATCTCCTTTCATTATTTCCACTCCTCCCTTGTTTGATCCAGTTCAAATATTCAGCTGATATTAGCATACTGAAAATTTACTGACCACCCTTAAAAAGTTTTATTTTTAGAAGGAAGGTCCTACATATTTGAGGAAAACATATTGCAAAAACAAAAGAATGATTTACTTGGATTGGACAACAGAAAAACAAAACCACTGAAAGCAAGTAGCGTTAAAAGCACCAGTTCTTGGGCTTCCTGAACAAAGGGGCTCTGTAGTTGAGACAGGAAATAACTATAATTTTTGTAGATCTCAGTTTTCCAGGATAACATTTGGTAATGTTGAAGAAGAGTCCTTTTCTCGTTAAATAACAGTTCCGAATTTCATAACTCACCTGATTACAAGCTTACAGATTCTAAAAGCTACTTATTACAGTAGAGCCCAATATGCCTCTCACTTTCAGGTTCACTGCAGAGCTTCCCTTCTTGACCAGAGGATGAACTTCAGAGCAGGTGGCAGTTTGCTCTCCCTGAAAGCTGTCAGAGGTACCTGTGCTGCCTCATCAGCATGTGCATGCTTTGCACGTACAGTATGATGGCAAACAACTAAAATCACACTACCAAATGTGGAGCATCCATGCCCTTCAGCCAAACTTTTTGCCTGGAAAGGATCAAGATCTAGTTCCTAAACCAAATTCACTCTCATTAAAACACTTATGGTTGACGAGAATGGAAAAGTACAGTCAAAATGCAACAACTCTTAATGACTAGAGACACTGCTTCCAACTATTCATACAGAAACGAGACAACAAGAACAGCATAAGATGGGTTTCACATCCTTTAACTGGAACTGCAATATTTTATGTTCAGATTTGCTGACTCTGTGAATTGTACTGCCACCAGAAATTATAGAAGTGAGTTACTCCATGTGAAGCACAGCAAAGCCCTCTGCATCACTGGGAAGAGGAGGACCGTTCCTGCTCAGAGAAGGTCACTCTGTGAGTAGAAGTCTTGCCAATAATTCCATAAGCTACCAAAGAGTACTCATTTCTTCATTGTTCCTACGGTAAAAGTGCAAGGCACAAGGGAAATATTTATCCTGAAGTGTAAGTTCCTGTTTTCATTAAACTGAAAAATAACCCCAGTGTTTACTGGTTGCTACAGTAAAAAATTCCTTAATTTGTACGCCATTAGTGAAGTTTTGGTGTAAAATAAATGGTAAGGTAACGCAAGACAAATAAGACTGTCCTCTGGTATCTTGCACTGGAACTGGCACTCTGCCTAAGCTTCACCTCACATCCTCTCAGAGGAGTGGCAAAGCCACGCACGCATTGCTGCTTTGGGCAGCACCAGCAAGCAGCTTCTGTACCAGCTCCTCAGCCCAGGGTCTGTGCAGGTACAGCAGAAAGGAGTTAACACAAGGTGTCTGTTTCCAGCTTTCATCTGTTTTATTGCAAAACTCAGACTAGCTCCCTGCATGTGTACGAGGGGACAAACCTTGCAGAAGTGGTACCTGACTCAGGCTAGCAGGACTCAGTTGTTCAAGGGAATGCCTTTGTCAGAGGTCAGGTTTGGGTTTGGACTGTGTTGAACAGCTGTTGGTGCAACTGGTTGTAGCAGTAAATCTGATGAGAAACTTGTTTAAACATGTCTTAAAATGGCCTTTTGTGGTCTCTTTGCAAACACGTGTTTCTTCTTCCCAACACCCCCCAGGACAGGTTATCTCCCATGCAGGAATGTCCTGGGAAAGGTGTCCTGAGGTGTCCCCATTGGTCCTTGTTAACCCCATCCTGTGATTGGGTGTTCCTGTAAGCCCCTTGAGACTTCTAATTGGTTACCCTGTGAATCCCCCTAAACCCTATAAATGTAACCCCCCCAACAATAAACCTCTCTCTTGCCTCCTCTCCACGCCGGTGTGCTGTCTCTGTGCCTGCCATGGGACCACGTGGGTGCTGGGGGGAGGGGAGGGCACCTCTCCCCTCCAGGCTCGGGGCCTGAAAAACCCTGTCGCTGGAGTTCCCTTTCCCTGCCCCTCAAGACGTCGGAATGGTTCTTCAGATGGAGATGGAACTAGAACTGGGCTCCCCCACGCTGTGGGTGGGGAAAGGGATCCTAGAACTGGTGGTATTGGAAGTGCTGACTTTTGAACCTGTTGATATGCTTTTGAACAATCAGTTTTGTTACTTGCTTTTTTATTTTACAAAACTGCATCAGATCTTCCTTTACCATCTCTTCTACCCAGCTGAAACAATTTTATGCTCCACACAAAAATGTTCACTTTTAGTTGTAGCTTCCAGACCTTCTGACAATAAAAGGGTATTGAAGCAACTGTTGGATGCTCCAAGGTGGGAATAATTCATTAGATTTTAAGGATGAAAATGTCAAATCCATTCTGTACGGTGTGAAGAGGGCTGAGTTGCTAGCTTTGCCTTGAGGAAAGGTCTGACAGTATCAGCCCTTTTCACTTTTGAGATAAAATACAAAGTTTATAGGTATGTGTCAAGCCAGAGTAAGTTTTGCACTAATATTAATCAAATAAGAAGAGATTACATATTTCTGACTTGATTACAGGTGACAACTATGATAATTTGTTCCAGTGCAGCCAACAGTAAAACTCAATGTGAAACAATTAACTCCACAAAAGCTACCACCACCTTGTACCTGCTACTTCCCAGTGACTCCAAGGTCTATGGGGGAAGTAAGGGAGTACTAAGAAGAAATGGAAAGATGAAATACTTCTGACCTGTAACGGTAACACCTGAAACTTGTTGATAGAGCAGGGGTTCCAAACAGCACTAACACTTCTTCTCTTGAGAAAGGGATGCTTGGATGAAGCCTCGGTCAGGAGGCTCAAACAAAGCTGAAATTACTGCAGTATCCTATCCACATGAAAGAATGTTTAGCTGAGTATGTACACAAATCAGTCAGTGGCAGAAAGCCCAGCAAGTGTTTATTCCCCATCCTCCATTACTACTATCCCCACAACATGGAGAGCTTTCACAAGATTTTGTTTTTTCTCTCTTCCCTATCCCTTGCATTTTGCCTTGTTAGGAGCCCAAACTAGAGCTCAGAGCACCTGCAAGCCATTGGTGTGCTGAAGACCAAGAAACCAGACCCTAGCACTGTAGAGAGTTGCTGTTCTCCTTAAATCCTCACCAGTTTAACTGCAAATATCAGAAGGACGGTTGTCGCTGTAGCTGTCAACATGACAAAGAGGCTGTATCAAAGGATACAGTACTATAGTCCACTTCTACAAACCTCTGCTTACAGTAATTACTTCAGCATCGTTAAAGACATTTGGTGTAGTAGCATCCACTTTCTTGCATACAAGAAACAGTGTTTATCTCTCAGATTAGGCTTTATAATTACAGCCCTCCCTGACAGCGTTTGGACACTTGAACCTCTCATACCATGCAGGCTTTAAGTGCCTCAAGGGAACTGAAGTTGCAAAAGTTTTGGACATCTACCACAGCAGTCTTAGGACAGTGTGATATGCTTTGGATACCTGTTGCATTTTTATGTTTGAAGTAACCTTAAGACACCTCCTGCAACCTTACTGGTATGGTCATACCTTAGGTGACAAGAATTACGAGAATGGTAAACTGATAGAAATCAGATTAAATGCTGCTTCTGATTTTGAGCATTATGAACAGACCAGAAACAATGAAAAGGAAACATGTAGCACCCATCCTATAATTGCAAAGGAAAAGCACAGCAGCCTGTCTCCCTGCTCCACCAAAACCAGCTATGGATCCTATCATTCTACCTCCCTTCCTTTACTTCTGATATCCCAAACTCAAATCAGACAAACTTACCTCAAGTGACCCCATGTGCTGGAAGCTGTTATTTCACAACAGCTATTACTGATCGGCTGATGCGAACCAGAAGACTCTTCTGGTATTCTGCTTTCTGGTATTAATCTGTGTCAACATTAAGACATTCAAGCCAAGCAATTTAGGACTGAAATTCAGAATCAGGCAGTGGATGATAAGCTCCTTGTTTAAACTAAAATCTAGAAACAAAAGTCATAAATATATTACAATGTAGAACTGCATGACCTACTTCTCCCTGCCTCTGTAATAACAACTTCAGAGACTCTACTAGTTAAAAAATAAATCCAATTTATTTCTCATAGCCTGAAGTTAAGTATTTTAACATTGCAGCAAAACCCTTTTAAGTTGAGTATTCACTTTCTCTGAGGGAATACAAATCTGGACTTTTTTCCAATTAAAAGTGGGAAAGCGACCTTTAATTGCAGTATTTCAAATTATTGCCATTTAATTAATCAAATTTGCATAAGTTAGCATAGCTTTGAAATTGTGCTCAGGCACAAAAGTGAAGTCTGCCTATTCTGCCTCCCTTCTTTTATAAAATCTGTATCTAATGTGTTTATGCGTGGTGCTTTCAAGCTCCAAAGGGTTAAAAAAAAAACCCCACAGGACACTAGGGACATCAGAAAATTAAATGAAAAAAATTAGGTTAACAAAAGTTAGAACTAACCCAAATATTTTTAGTTTTCCTAGGGCAAAGATTGTTGTTCCTTTGCATGCACCAATATAAACGCTTTCTGGATCTGTACTACTGTACATGAACCTGGGAAGGGCATTGGTTTTATCCACAGCAGCTTAGCCAGGTATTAAAAAAGCTAGGGCTTCTCTTCCAGCAAGTTCCTTGATATAGACAGTGCAGGCAACTAATAAAGTGTTCCATTCCAATAGAAAGTCTATTCCAGTAGCTGGCTCTCCCAGTTAACATTCAGTCCCCAGATGAAGCTTCAAACCCACTGGCATTTTGGAGGTCTCTAAGTCCACATGGGGTGGTGCAAAATAGATTACGATCAAAGACATAGTGAATGAAGCAGCCAAATCAGATAGATAATTTTATTTCCTGAAAATCTGAACTGATTCTAATATTTAATCACTTTGTCACAACTGTTTAATTTCCATAGTAAAAGCTTATGTAAGTCACTCGTAACAAAACAAGATATGTCATTTGAGTTCTGCAACACAGATTCAAATATGATTCGCCAAGCATTTACATCCTGTTTGTTTGTATGCATGCTTTGTAAGGCACCTCCACATTTGTCACACTAACGTTACCCTAGAACTGCTTTCAAAATTACTAAAGGCATTTTAGAGTCAAGAAAACATTGTAGTTGTGAGGTTACCTTAAAAAAAAAAAGTTCAAAGTTACTTTCCTTGCTCTGGATTAGAAGCAAGTCAGTATAAGCCTTTGTTTTTGATCAATTAAAGATGGGGTGGTTTTATTACTTTTGCATTGTCCCATTGCCCTTGTTTTAGGATAAGGTATGCAAAGCCTGCATAACTGTCTCAGCATTTAGGACTGTGAGATTAAGAATAGGAATTGTTTACAATGCTGTTCCCACAGTAAAGCTGCCTGTTTAAGCCATTTCCTGGCTTTGTAATTCACTGTTTCCCCCACACTTTCCTCCTCTTTCACTTTGCAGGCTTATTTCTACTGGAAGTTATTTTTCAGAAGGGCACTCCCAAAAATTCCACACCAAGAAGCAATCTGTGGTTTCTCAGTGCACTGTATTAAACTCTCCTCCCCAAACCTGGGAAGCAAGACCCCGCTCCTGCACTGCAAAAAGGAGCCCACTGCATGGGCTGCTTCTTACAAAGAGCATTTTCCAATATAGGGCATTTGAATTTGTTAATCTACAAGTTTTTCTCTTAGGAATGTATTTAACCTACTCAGCAGCTCAGTCCTACTTTCTGCAATTCTGATTATGACTAAGATTGTTCACAGCCAGTCCAGGGTATTAACTGGCTTCTCTTCTGCTGGATGGTCTGTACCTCCTGGTCATGATTTGTCTTCCCTTGCTTTTAAGTTCCAGTGTGTCATGAGTTCAGTAATTAAGGAGAGGAATACTCCCAGCTGATGCATTTGTAACTTCTCTGGTTTCTCCCCTACAAAGGTCTTCCCCCTACATGTTAAAGAACAGCACATGAAGCTGAGGTTTCTGAGTATCCAAATTCCATTCCCACACTGGTGCAGAAGCAGAGACCATGTCTGCCAAAGCTGAGGTCAAGCATGTTATTCCACTGAGCTGCTTCAGAGTTAAAGGAAACACTGAACCTTTCTTTGAAAGGCATGTGAACCATATTAGTTCCTAGGGTTTTACTGTTCAGAATCAGACTGAAAGACGCTCCTCTGACCAATGCTGTCTGAAGAGAGACTGCAATTGGACTTTAATTGAAATTATACAATAAGGACCATGCTTTCCATTCCAATCTGATTATAAAGACTATAGATAGCTCCTCATGCTACTAAAGTTGCTAGACTTCCTATTATGTCTTTCCCTCCCCCGAGGAATAAAACATAGTAGCTATCATTTAGTTAATAGTAGACATAATTTCAACCTTTGCTATGCACTCACTTCAGATCAGCTCTTTGGAAGTTCAGCCAAAAAAACCTTTTTTTTTTCACTCCTCCAGTCAAAATTCCTGCAGTCCTTTCCCAAAAGGCAATTCCTTCAGTATAAAAGTAAATAAATTTTTTTTTGTCTTTTCATAGGCCATAAAACTTGCATCCTTGGAGTAGGGCTAGACTTGGTCAAGTACCAAGTATGTGATACTTCACCCTTGTTCAGGTTTTATCAGAAAAGCCAGCTTACACTGCATAGCAGACATGTAACACACAGCATCAACACTTGTCATAGCATTGCCCCTTTCTGATAACTGGAGATCAGAGTATCAGAGCTACTCCTGGAGCCAGCGTCAGCAGTGCCTTCAACCCCTCCCACAGAAAGCACCCTGAAAAATCCTGTTTGTAGGACCACTCTTAGCAGTCACAGGATCTGCTCAGAGCTCCCCAGCTTTGACTAATAAACAGCCTGTAGTCCCAGGGAAGCAAACTTACTTTTTTATGCAAAACATGTGCAGCCCCTGAAAAGGAGTTGTTCTGCTCAGAGATCTTCAGTGTTTGTTAGTCTTTACCATTTAAGAACAGAGCTCAGACTACATCAGTCTTAGTTTTTCCACAAAAAGACTTCTGGGTTCCTTGTGTCTCTTTTCTTAATAATGTGAGATAGTCATTACAGATCAATGCCCTTTACAAATTTACCTTGGAGGGACAGACAAGGAGGTAGATCACTCATCATAGGACATATGTGAAAGAAAATAGACCAGACAACACGACTACAATGTTTCTCTGCAGCAGTAAATTCCTGTACTGAGGTTAGCCCAATAAGTTTAATATGTAAGGAAAAACAGAGTGGGTATTTACTCACACACAATTTTATGAGAGGAACAACTGAAATGTCAGCAAGAAAAACACACTTTTTGGACAAATTGATATTACATCACATTAGTGGGCCACAGAACTCTTTAAAAAAATAAATCTTTTTGAGACATGAGAATGAAATCACATTTTAGCATGCTTTAAATAGCTGAACTGCTCCTCAAAGCATACATTTTCAGCTATTGGCAAAGACAATTATTATCTCTTCATCTGGAAATTAAAAAGCATTTAGCAATAAGTTAAAGCTAGCCTACGTGTAAGTGGGCTAAATACTAGTCAGAGATTTTTCCCTTTTCACATTTAAGATGATAGTACAGTTCATCACTTCTGTAGCTTATGTGCTGTTGTGCAATGCCCCACTGAAGTTTCACATCTACTCTGCAAAAGAGAACAAGAGTAAACAGCATTTTTTTTAGGATAGTCACAAATGGTAAAGCCAGTAGTATTTGTTTTTCTGTTTAATTAGATGTTTGCTGTTTATCACACACAAGAACTGTAAGCAGAGTCCATGAATTCTTCGGAGCAATATGAAACCTCATGGTTCCATGCAAGTTCAATACTGCCTCTCTCTCTCTTTTTTTCTCCCTCCTCCTCCTATCTGCTGTTTTCCCCTGCCCAAGTTTTCAACAATCCTTAAGGGAAAGAAAGTTTTACTTCATGACTGCTATCCAAGAGAGCCTGGCTCCAGGCTTATGTCGGGTCAGGTGCATCTTAGATAACAGGAAGCTGGATGTTCTTCATTTGAGGCACTAGAAGTTAGGTTAATAGTAATAGTCAAGTTGCCCAAAGCTAAAGGGACAAATAGCTCTCATTGCCTTCCTATTTAAACAGCTGTCCAGCGAAAAAATCTTTCCCCTTTTTTCCCTGAAATATATTAAGTACAGCTTGCAGTAACAGATTCCTCAGTCTTTCATTCATGCATCTGTAGTCCTATCGTATTCTGTCCCATTTCACTTCCTCAACCTCAGAAGAGAAGTTAGCAATGGATCTCTCTACATTCAGGTAACACACATCCTTTTTTGTCTCATAATAATTATCAAGTTTATAGTTCTTCCTCCACATTCCTCAGCTATGTCAAGACAAACTCAGTTCTGTGACAATGTTTTCCATGTACCTCTCTTCAGAGAGAGAGCTGCTGCAGCTGAACAAGACAATTGCAGCATGCTAGTTATACTTGGATTCAATATGTGGTTGAAAAGAAGAGAATGACCAGTTTTCTCATTTGTCTATATTCAGACATTTGGAAAACCCCACTGTCAGCATCTTGAGTGAAAAACAGGAGACATCTTCAGACCCTTGTAAAACCACTTACGCAAGTTAACTTGTTTGAATAAACTTCCCCACCTCAAGTGACACAGTGGCCTGCAGTCTTCCTTGATCCATTCAGAGAGCAAGAGTTATTTTTACTGAGTCAGTAATCATGCATTGTATTCCAGAGGAAATACTAGCCGGGTACCCCTGCTTGTAACTTCATGATCTGCTGCTCCCAAATCACGTTCCAATGCTTCCTCTGAACTACTTTTTGTTCTCCTGCCATCAAGGCTAGTGGTAGCTGTATGGGGGCCAGATGAACCATTTGCAGTTATTGTTGTATCACCATATGTCACAGTAAGGTCACCATCATTCAGAATAAAATCAGAATCCTCTTCTCTAAGCTGTTCCTGATTCTGAAAAAAAAAAAAAAGAAAAAAAAAGAAAAAAAAAGAAAAAAAAGAAAAATCTTTGTACAGTGCACAGCATCTTTCTTTGCCCAAAAAGTAACCAAACAGAAGAATTTACCTATGTGTCAATACAGAAGCAGTAAGAGGTAAAGCTTCACCTTAAGAAATGTTAAAAATAACCTTGAACCCAGTGTTTGCAAATCAGCTTAGTGATCCCTGTATAACTACTGCTACTGTGGAGAGATGATGGGGGAGCTGAAGCCAAGAACTAGGTTATGAAACGGGTAACCTGGGATTTAGTAGCACTGAAAGTGTACCAGAAGTACAGGAGAGATCAGCAGTACACACTGTTTTTTGCATGACAGTTTAGAAGGCAGTACAGGAAAAAGACTGGAGACCAAGGACAATTAAGTCACTTCAGATACAAAGTCAGAGTTGCATCTATTGCTAATTAGTCACATTCATTAGTAAAAGTTTCATGCAAACTGGTAAGAACTTTAGAAATTTTAGGCCCAAAATTTTCATGTTCAAGAATTCCTCAAAAATTTTTTGTTATACATCAAGAACTAACAATATTCTTTCAAATTGTCTGCTTACTTTTGCCTACTACTAAATAGAGAATTACTTGACCTAGTTCTTGTGAATGCTACTGAGCCATAAAAAAGATTGATACAAGAAAGTGCTTGCTTCATAGTTTTGTAACTAGTTTTGATATGTTCTCTTTTCAAAATCATTTAAGAAACTGGTGCATGAAACCCTGTGAATTTATTTTGGCAGAGATGGGATGAAATATATGGTCAGAGACTAGAAATTGGTGAAGTGTAACAAAACACTTAATTTCTTTACACAGCATAATTACAACAGCAAGCAACAGTACCATGTTCCACTCCAGTTTAACATGGTCTTGGTAAAAGGCAAAACAGCTGAATTGGTCAGAAAATGGGCTTTCTTTATATTTGAAGAAAATTCTATCAATACTATAAGCTTGCCTTCTTGCAAGTGAAAGCAATTATTTCTCCACATGAATAGCTCCATACTGCTTAGCAAGAGCTGAAATGTGTCTGCATATTGCTGTTCTCCTCGGTAGGCTGGACACTGATCAGGCTATGCTCTCAAAATACATTATTTTCTTCCATTGCTGCAAAGGAAGGAGGACATAGGCCATGTGAGATAGGATGCCTGTGTTCAGCCTGAACAGAAAGGCCCTGCCTCTACTGCAGAACAGGAGCTCAGGGCACTGCTGATTGAAAATGCTGATTCACCTGTCCATGATGAAAAATGCAGTGCCTGGCTAAATAAAACTTCCTGGGAAAGCTTCCTGTTGTCAGAATGATAATCAGCCAAAATAAAACAGCAGAAGCCTCTAGATGATACAGAATATTTAACTAACAAGGACTGGAAGAGGTGTCAGGAGTTTGCCAAAACCAATGAAAGAAATAGTACAGTTCAGCAGTGGGTTCAAGACAAGCCCTACCTAGAATGAATGCTAATTTCTCAGAAACTTCATGGCATCCAAATTTATCACAGGTTTTTAGTGACAGGGTTAATGTGATAGAGAGCACTGTTCCCAAAGAGCAAATACAGTTTAGAACACTTGCTTTCTTTGATCAGAAAGAAAACACTGAACTACTGGCACTATCTTAAAAAGCAAGAATTAAAGTGTTCGACTATAGTTGGCAGAAACAGCCTTTACAAGCTTTTAGTTGCAAAAAAAAGTAAAAGTCTGAGGGACAAGGCCAAGATGTGCCTAAAAAAGGCACTCCAAATAGTAACCCGTTTAAGAAATTCTGATATCCATATACATATTGTTTTGAAGAAGAGGCATTCAAATAAAGACGAAAAGCAGAAAAATGAGCAAGAAGCAGGCAGTTTGTGACTGTTGACAATTATGTTTTAAGAAGCAGAAGAAGCTGAAAGGCTCTCTCATATGTTCCCTTTCACGGTCCTTGCCCTTGGAGAAGCACCAAGGAGGGGAAGGCAGGGCTAACAGAGAACCAGAAGCTATTGCCATAACAGGACCACATGTGAAGTGGCTGCAGCAAGCTCTCAAAGCACCTCCTGTCTCCACAAAGCTATTGAACAGTGAATCCTTGCAGCCACCTATCAGATAAGAAACTGGTAAGAACACACTACACTTGAGCTTCCCCAAAAGGTTGAAAAGCTCTTGGAAGCAAGATATTGAAAGGAGAGGGCCTTAGATTTATTCTATATGGCAAGTCCTAACTCAATCTTTGCCGGTTTGTCCCAGGCTATACTTGCATGTACATAAACGTGATCAGTTCCAGAGAAAACACTTAGCTTTCTCTCAAGATAGTGAACAAACATTGCCTTGTATGAGCCAAGTTCCTTTTATTTATTTCACTTCTGAATAGCACTGCAAGCAGCAGGCAATTTATTTCATATATTTCCCCAGACAACATCCATGAACAATCCCATGTAGTATACGGATTTACTATGTTTGCAAACAAAGAGGATGGGTGAATAAACCTACTGTGCTTCATGCAGCATGAACAATTCTTTCAAGAAAGACAGGAAATGTATCCAAGTAGATCCCCAGAGACTTGAAATACTTCCAAGAAAAACCCTAAACAGGCCTCTGCAATCCCCTACAGTTCTGTAGGAATAGCTTCAATTCAGTCAAAAAACATAGGTCTGAACTTCACTACTTAAACTGACAGACTAGAATGGCTAAATACCTAAATCCAAAATTCTGCAAAAGCCTGAATTTTGCTTTGATGTGCTGACCATAACCTTGAGGGACCTCACTGCACTCTGTCCTATTTGTGGTAAAATCTGTTCATGTTCCTAAGAATGTGTGCTGGAGATGTTTTTTATATTAAAGCTTATTTAAAGTGAGCTACTGCTTACAAGGCCTGTCTTTATTGCCTTCTAAGACAATGTAAAAAGAAGCACAAGCAGAGTGCAATGCATTGGCAGTAGTCACAAATGCTGGTGCTGAATACAACGCAGGCATCACAGATGACAAAACTTGCATCAGAAGTTACTTATCTTGTGGCTCCAAAACAAAAGCATCAAGTAGCGTGCATACAAAATATATTGCAACTTCAATCTGATGCTTCGCCTACAGTCTCCCTGTTTCTCAGCCGAATTTAAATTCACCAGGGAAACTAAACAATTTTTGCTGTGAAGATAGAACCACTAAGGAATGGGAAGGGCAAAGCATGGCTAAACAGTTTTCTTACCCATTTTGAGAGTTACAGCCTGCAAGATTTATAAAGACTCCAAATTAAGTTTCTTCACTGGGCTTGCATACTTATAAATTAATTCAATTCCCTCTACTTTCATGCCAAGTTGTCATACTACATATGGTGCAAGAACTAAACTTTAAAAAAAAGTGTAGGAGTGTGTATAAGACAAAAAATACACCCTGAACAACAAAAAAAAAAAACCACCAAAAACAAGAAGCAGGAATGCTTCTTCCAACTGGGATAAATGACTAATGGAACAGAGAATTACTAAAAGTTTCAAAGAACATGTCAAAAGGAGAAGAAAAAAACTGACCTACATTAGTTTGGGATATATTGGAATGCCCTGCCAGCGGGTCATGCACTGAAGACAACAGCACCAGAAGAGAAAAATAGTGTTTAAAAATTACAATTTTCAAAATTTCTCTCCTAACTGCAGCAACTTTTCATGTTTTTAAGTTCCAACTTGCAGTATGTCTGTGGCAAACACTTAATGGTGGGCCTAGTGGCACTGACTTAAAACAGTGGGAGAACATCAGCAAGGAATAGTAACAACATCTCTGGAAAAAAATCCACTGTACCTCACCTCTGTGTGCTGACTCAGAGCCTGACATGTATGTCAGGCAAATTCAAGCCTAGAGGACACGATCTCATACTTAAAAATAAGTTGTGGGTGGACTACGTAATAGGATCATTTGACTTTCAGACTTTCAAACCCTCCTTTGGCATCTAGTTAAAAAGATATACTCCCACTCATGGAAATGAAAGTGAATTCTAAATACTGTTGTAATAAAGTCAGAGGAGAAAAAAAAACCAAAACAATAAAAGCTGAAAACAATACATCAATACACAATCCGTATAGCCACACAGGTGTAAGCTTTCTTCTCTATGTAGATGTCATAACTCAGACTTGCACCTGAACGAGATCCAGGATTTAATACTTGTTTTGGAAACATATTTTCCAGCTATGTTATACTCTATTGAATATTTACAGACTTTTTTTTTGCTAAACTTAAAGTCTTCAGTCTTTAATTCTCACAGATGTACCATTCAATTTCCCTGGAAATACCTCACAAAGGCACAACTATTCCAAGCACTTTCTGTCCCAACAAAGACATGGCTCTCTCCATTGCTTCACCTGCACTTAAATAGAAAGGAAAAAAAATTCCATGGCTTTTTAGTCAGTAATAAAATGGTACAGCCAAGTTCTGTAGCTAAGTCAGCCATGCAAAGAGACAAAAAGCAACAAAGCAATTGCAGGGTTCAGAAATCTTGAAAAGAAGCTAGAAAAAAAACATCAAAATTAAATTCTTTCTTAAGACTAATTCACAATGCACTGAAATAGGAACAGAAGAGAGAATACAATGTGAAACTTCCACATTATACACCTTAACAAAGTATGCAACCTGGCAAGCATTTTTAATGAAGTTAACATTCCATGTGTGTTTGTCACAGAACCAATCCAACTAAAGAATAAGTTTCCACATGCAGCAGTAGCTAACAATGATGAGTAAAGAAAAAAAAGAGCCTAACTATGAGAGAAAACAAAAGGCAAAGGTTGCATGTTCATTCTGGTTAGATTCTCAGTTACTGGACAATTACTCTCACAAGATCATATGTGGACAGACACACAGGCAACACACAAGTAGGCTAATTGGTCTGATGGATGCCTTCCAGCCTAGATCTGCTTTAAGACCTCCAGTGGCATTGCAAAGATGAGAACAAGGCCAATTTCTTGCATTACTAATAGCTCCAAATACGCAACAGAAATTTCAAAGTTCTTTGAAACTTTTCTATCGGGTACAAGTAAGTTGCTAATAATACCCAGAAAGAAATGCAGGGAAGTATTTCAAAGTTGCAAGTGGAATTCATAACTGTCTAGGAAAGGATTAATAGCAAACTGGTGAAAGACTACTTCAACATAGCAGAGATATTAACATCCCAGAAAACCTGCAAATTAGAGATATTCCCACATAGTACTGTGGTTTTATTTACAAGTGGCTCATAAAAAAGTTGTAGATTTCAGAAGCACTGTACAGATAGCAATGACATGTATCAGAGTCCTGCAAGAGTAATATGAGAATGAAGCATTAATTATTGCAAGACATGGCTGTAAAGAAGAGAGTGACCTGCTAGACTGAGATAAGTAACTGCCTAACGGTTCCTGAAATGTGATCTCAAATTTCACAGTGGAAACAACAGAGGGAAGCTCTACCAGATTTGTTTCTGGCGTGGGTATATGTGTCAGTGACTTCTCTAAGGAGACCTCAAAGCTTAGTGGTAACAGGAAAAGAACCTTGTGCAAAACTGTCGAGAAGGGAATACTTTGAAATGATTCACTGAACTGGGTTATTGACTAAGCCTGTGTCCTACTTACAGGGGCCAGGACCAGTTTATCACTATGGGGGTATAACCAAAACTGTGTAATCTACACTCTCTATGTTATTTCTTTTGGACTGTTAACAATGGATCATTTGCAGCAGCTGCCCAGGGCACACCTGACACCTCAGGCTACAAGCTGGGTGTTAAAGAACACTGCAAGGCAGGGGAGTGTTTCTTTGTCTTCATACCCATGACTCATCTGTGATAACTCCCCTATGGGGAGGCATTAGCACCTTCACACCCAGCCTGAGGGGTCATCTCTGCTAATGGGCCACAATGGACTGGCATAATAGGCAGCTGCAACACCTAGACATCAAAGATTCTAAAAATATCCCATGACACGAAGAGTTACATCACCCACTGGGAAACTCCCATCCTGAGGGAGGTACTGGGCATTCCCACCTACACCTGAGCATATATAATCTTTAGGGTTTGGGACTTCTGGTACCACTCATCAGATCAAGAGGAGGACCAGAACTTCAACAAGACTGCCGCTGCTACTCTCGACAAGACTGCAATCATTACTTCAACAGAACTGCAACCATCATCCAGATTAACAGGTTTCCTTTCCTTTTACTTTCCCCCCAGGGGAACCACGTGGTGTTCAGCACAGGGGTTAACAAACACTGTTCTGTTCTTGTCCCAGGGTGTGGGGTTATACAACTGTCTTTGTGGGTTAAAACCAGTTTTCTCTGTATCATTTGATTGATTCTAATCTTTTTAGGAAATTCTAACTCTGACTTTTAATCCCTCTTGAGCTGGATTCATTTCTCCCACCAGTTTAGTTTTAAACCAGCACAGCCTGTAATTTCCCAATATCTTTAAATGTGTTTTTTTTCATGTAGTATCTGAAAAACAAGATCCTTTCTGGTTTCTACCAACAGAAGCTGTTGCCTTAGGGAAGAGAATCTTAAATCTTTTCTGCCTAGGACAAACCAGTACTTTCTTGCAGTATATCTATCAGATCAGCTGAAACCAGAAAATGCCTAAAAAGAAAAACACTGATTTGGTGAAGTTAAAAAAATAATAAACAAAACACAGAAGTATTGAGTTGTTCTACTTACATCATAAACCTGGGGACTTGTCAGACAGCGGGCTATCAGGCCACACCAGCTGGGTAGAGTTGTGGTCAATGGAGGGCCACTGTGAGTGAGAATTGGCTTTAAATAACTTAAGTAGTTAAGAAAAACACACCAGTGCTCAAAAACTACTATCGAAAATAAAAAGTCAAGTGTACATAAATGTGGTTTTGCCTTTGAACTGTGCTACTCAATAATTGTACATAAAACATCCCCAACATTTTCCCCTTTTTCCTTTCAAGTGCAGTTTCTTTACTCACACATCTTCCGCAAGGACAACTTTCTTAAAAGTTTCACACAGTTCTGATATTTCCAGCTTCTGAGTTCTCTAAAGTGTAAATCAAGCGAGAGGTAACAAGGTGACATTCCTATGTGGCTCAGTGTAGGGAAATAAAGAAATGCTGTTCATCCAAAATCCTCAAAGCAATATAGCCAACTGATCTGCTAGCTGCTTACTGAGCCACAGAGATGCAACCAGTAAGGCTCAAAGACATTTCTGCAGTGCACATACACATACAGCACACACTCTCAGAAAAGCAAAGGGAAAACTGTATGGCAAGAACCATGTAACACAACATGGAAGGAAACAATACTACCTAGATTACATTGAGGGGACATGGGGGCAGGAAAGGAAGGTATCTTTACACCTCTTTTCATAGGTCTGCTCCCAGTTAAAGCTATATTTGTTCACATGAGTACTGCAGATTGATAATATGCCTGAAAAAATGCTCAAGAGTCAAAAAATGTTTCTCTGTTACAGAGCAGCATGTTGATCTTGACTGGCACATGAGTCAGTCTAATTATTTTAAATGTAAATAAATATGTTGCAGGTATTCCAGTTACTTTCCTCAGACTCTAAGCACAGAGAAAATCAAGTCCATTTGTGAGTATAACAGTTTCTTTGATCCTCCCAACAGATCAACATACTTAGGGGACAGAGAAGGGTTAAAAAGGGGCTGTTCTAGCAAAGAGTTATCTCTTCTCCTTAGCAGAGCCTGGCATAATATCTTTGCTAGAGCAGAGTTATGTTTCCTCCTTCACTCACAGTGCTGTTACACCCATTCCTGGAAAGAAACAAACTTGGCCCTTGCACTAACCTGCCAGCCTCTACGCTGCCCTGCGGCAGACAGGCCCGCAGCAGCTCGGTCGTAAGAAAGCAAACCCAGTAAAAGACATCTGGTACTTCATCAAAGTTGCAGTTTTCTTCGTCTTTTACAGTTGTGGGTGAACCCAGGGAACAGCCCATGACATTAAATGAACTCTGCATTCCACAGGAATGAAGTTGCTGCTTATCCATCTGTACAGAGCTCTGCAGGCAATAGCCAGCATTGGAGCATGCTGCCATCTCTTTCAAGTTAAGTTCCCTTGCAAAGAGGGAATTTTGAAATAATCTGCCTTTCTACCTAGAAACCAAGTGAATGTACCAGAAAAAATATTTTGACATTTAGTCATGAATACAGAGGTGGCAATGCTAAAGATCATTCTGTCTGTGCAATTTAAGCCCACCCAGACAATGTTTATCTGAATGCCTCCTTGCAACAGAAGGAGCAGACTTTTACTTCTAAGATACAGTTCTGCCTCTGGATGTCAGTTTCCTAGGCACAAACTTCACAGAAACCTTCCCTAAAGATTGCTAGTCACCACTGAAAAAAGAAAATGCACTAACAGCATTTTTTAAATTTCTGTGAAACAGGTAGTTAGGCTATAATTTTCTCCAGGCACTCCCCCTGCCCTTGCTGCAGCTGCTGAGGACTGCATTTGTGCTAGTGTCAGCTGAGGGAAGTCAGCCGGTGCTAACTACTCCTTTCATCGGGCACATCCCTTTGTAAATTCAGGGGAAGAGGATAGTTCTGCTTCCTTAAAGACAAAACAGAAGCAGTCAGCCACAGCCAGATCCTTCCATGCTCTTAACACCAAAGTTTTATAGTTTGCGTTGTTTTCTTTTTAATAACAAAAATTGTCCTTGTTGCACTTTGATACTAGCCACTACAACTTAAAGGGTTAACTTGAAGTTACTAGCATTTATGTATACTTAAACTAGCAGTACACTTCCTTCCGGGCTTTGGCCCAATACTACTGCATCTGAAAGCCTTGCTCACAAGATTTTATCTGGAAGAGGCAAGTGCTATTAGGATCTCAACACACTACCAGGGCTTGCGTGGGTGGGAAAGCTTCATGCACAAGGCATGGAAGGAAACTACTATGCTCCAACCAGGCCAGCAGTCTCTCATCAACCAACGGCCAAGATCCCAATGAAAAGCCTCACTCCTCAGATTAAGGCCCTGTCACAGGTAATTTTGCATATTTAACTGATGAAGAAATTACTAGGAATCAAGAATTGAAATTTCTTTGTGTTTCTGGGTATAAGTGACTTGTCATGGCTACAAGATTGTCTTTGCCATTTTCCACTAAGTGAATGCAAGCTGTTAAGGAGGAGCATATGTATGACATATTGATGAAGAATCAGTTAAGAAGATTAAAAAAAAAATACAGGTATGAAAGACAGGACAGCTACACAAAAATTGCTCAGAAGCCTAAACAAGGCTATCTAAATAGTACAATAATAGCTTCAGAAAGGCTCTACAGTACTATATACACACAGGGACACTCTGCTTTAACACCTATAATAAGTTCTGGATATACTTAAGGAGATAAGCTGGATCTCACGTAGAACTTCCTCTTTAGAAATCAACCACAGATTTGGGACTTTATCACAAAAGCAGATAGCTCTGCAGAGCAATGAGTTGAGGCTTAGACATCTACAATGAACTGGAAAACTAGTTTGTGCTCTGAGCATCAGTGAAGATGAGAACAGATTAATAAACAAATCAGAGGCCCTGAAATAGTTAATCGGCTGTCTAATTGATTAGGAAGGCACTTCAGCTCCTAGAACTGACTGGTTTCTCTCCTCCAGCAAGTGTCACATACATACTTTAGAGAAAGCAAAGGTCTGTCTGCTGAGCCGGTGAGTTCAGTCTTCGATTCTATGTCTTGAAACTGTCAAATACTTGAGAGAGTCAAACAGAAGGATCAAGCGCTTAAGGCTACATAAGGGAAAAAGTGAACATTTCATGCCTTGAAGGTAAGCTGTGCTTTCAAAAGGATACTTATGGTCAAAGCTATACCATAGCCTGAAGAGCCAAGCACTTTCCTGCTTTGTCCTGTTCCTTCTTGCAGAATCTGGGCCATCCTAAAAGATAAAAACATATTCAATTGTTTCAGACAGAAACAACTCCAAATGATACATTGCAACATTCCCTGTCCAAAAAACCCAAATTATTTCAATACTGTACTTGGAATGCAGAAGAAAGCTATTTAGAGTCTTGCTTATACTGAGACTGTTAGTTTCCCTAGAAAGATCAGAAATGACTGCAGAGAAGCAGGCTGTTTTCATTGCACTCAGGTTACCTCAACAAGCCCTCTCCCACCAAGTTTCCTGGAGCTTAAAACCTTTGCACTCTTAGTGCAGTAGTGGATAAAGAAGTAACTTCAAAACCAAAAAATAAACCTAATTGATATTCCAGAGTGATTCCTATTTATTGCTTGCTTGGCTTCCTTAACTTTAGGTTTAGGTCTAACTCTAGGTTTTCTCTTTTCTTAAGCCTGTTGCTTCAAAGGAAACTAAATTGCCATACCTGATAAACTCTCAGAAATCTGATGAAATATATCACATGTAAAAGAAACATGCTTCACAGGAAATGCATATAAAAATCACATTTGATGGAGGTCATGCCAATCTCAGAAATGCTAGATCAACCTTGGAAGGGCTAACAGTGTTAAATATACTAGCTGTGCTGCAAGTCATCACACCAGCTGGTCTGCAGCTGCATTTGTTTTTTACTTTTTTTACTGTTTGGGGGTTTTTTGGGTGTTTTGCTTGTTGTTTTTGTTTTGTTGGTTGTTTGAGGTTTTTTTTGGCCAGAGGCCAGAGTTAAACACAATAAAACAGATGGATGCTTTGTATGAATCACCTTCCAAACTACTGGAAAAGAACAGGACAGGACTGCCCTGTAAAAAAATCCATGATCCATGAGGAGTTAAAGCTTAGTACACATTCACTCCCTCCCCTCCCCAAATGATATATTTTCTTTAACTGTGACATGCTGCTAATCTTGGCTTGGTGAAAGAAAGAGGAATCCAAAGGGAACTGACTAAAAGACTCTATTAGGAATGCAATGTACATTTATAGAGGGGGAAAAAATGCGTAAGTTCTTTATGTCTACACAAGAAAAAAGCAAACAAGATATTTCCACAAAAGACACTGAATGAGAACAGAGTACCCATGCTCTGTTTCCTGGTAAATCTATTCCTCAGTTACTGACAAATTCAGCTTGAACTGGCCAAAGCTGTCTTACCATGATACCACTTCCTAACCTTGGTTTTAAGCAATAATTGTGGCCTTCATTGTAAAAGGTGGTTTGAGGCCTGGACTTCTGGTTGCTTGCAGATAGACATAAAACAAAATTCACCCTTTCTGGTAGCTAACTCCACCATTTCAGAATTTATTTTGTGTGCTAGACACAGGCTTCTACAAAGAACACAGACATGCCTAGTGCAGTTTCTACAATGAAAGAGATCTTGTTGAGCAGTAACTCTTACCTGTACAACACGTGAAGAAAGAAAAGTAAGCCAGGAGAAACCACTAAGAAAGCTAATTCCAAATAAGTGTGTCTACCTGTGACCAGCCTGAACATCAGTATCGTACAACCTGAGGTTTACAAAGCAGAGTTCACATACTTGCTCCCTAAACATCCTCTGCATCCAAAGTCATCTGCCATTCAACTTCCTCTAGAAGGTTCCTACGTAAGCAACCAGTTGTGCTACTGAACAACAGCGTCAAACAGAACTCTGGGAGAATGCAAACTAGGGTCTAGACAGAGGAAACGCCCAGTTAAGCCTTGGGAAATGTTGAGTTGTTTTGTTTTTTTCCAGATCCTTCACTCCTGCAAATTCACTCAGTTTAGAGATGAGCAAAACTAAAATTTTCTGCTTTGAACAACATTCTTCCAATGATCTTGTTTGCCAATAGCATATTTCAGGGGAAAAAGTCAACTCTTGGATTGTTATTGATGCATAGAAGGCTTCACTAAAGATTCACAGAAAGAGTTGGCTGAATATAAATGGCAGTTTTCCAATGCTCCTTCTGCTTCATACAAGTGGTAGGTAGTACAGGCAGGATCCAGCTGGCTTGTGCTGCAGCATACGAGAGCTGAGATCGAGTTAGCAAACTTCATCTTTGATTATAAGCAACTCCAAGGGCCAAAATTTGGCATCAGTTATTAACAGGAGCCTCTGGGTCAGAACTGGGAAGAACTATTTATGCAGCAGCATGCTAAAAAGCAAACATGTTGGGTAGGTGGGGGAAGCAGTAGAAAAGCACACTGTTAAACAGAGAGTATTAGTAGATTTGGGAAGGCTTGTATATGTATGTATATACATATACACAAAAATTTGAATACGACAGCCTTACACCCAATACCACAATGTTTTTCAGTGGGCATTACTTGAATATTATAAAGTGAAATCCATTACTGACTTGCCAGCTAGAAGAGAAAGGTTTTATCCATGCATTCAACTTATGCAGTTCTCTATCATCTTAGATATAAAATAAGATCAGCCTAATAGAGAAGTTATGTAATTACTTACTCCTTGTAAGACTTGAAAGCTGTCATTAGTAGGTGGAGGATCCTGATCTGGGTCAACCCCAACCCTACAGAAACATTAGGAAAACAAAGCAAGTGGTGTTACCGAGAGTTGCAAATGCTGTAAGTTGGGCAGAATGCATTTTAAAAGCACTTTAAGCACCCAGCAAAGCTGCATTCAGAGAGATTATAAGACTAGTTTGAGGAAGAGTTGTCCATTATTCCTCTGCAGTTACATAGCTATAAACAAGAAACTTTTTTACTCAAGAAACACCTGCTTATAGACAACAGCTTTAACTCCATCTTGGCATCAACTTTAACTGCTTGCCTTTGTTGCCAATTCTTTTAGGACACTAGAAAATACTATTTTTGGCTTAAAAGGTGGGTGACATCATCTTTAGTGGAGAACATCCCTCATGTCCAGCAGGAAGAAACCAGAAGCTAAGGATAAAGCCCAACCTAAATATTTGACACAGCAAATAACTGCCAGATAAGCTTGAGAGTGGCTCAAATATATGACTTTAAAAAGTTTTAATACCCTGTGGGAAGCACCAAAAATACTATAAAATTAATTTATTAATTAATACTATTAAAAATACTTTATAAAGATTCACAAGCTTAATTTGCTGCAAGCTTCATTCATCTAACACAAAGCAGTCACAGTGGATTAACAAGTGGCCTGTAGTCCAGCCTCCCACCTGAGTGAGGCAGGGTTTGTGCAATGAGATGGTGGGTGATGACAGAATAATACATTAAGAAGAAGTTGTCTACTCACTTTTGCATAGCTAGCAAGCATCTTATTACTGAACCCTCCTTTCACATAGGGCTCCTATCCAAGATGGGTATTTATCCTTGTAATTATGTTCAGGTTCTTCTGGTCTATTTTGGGGGTAGCTATTTGTTAAGATTGGACTTGTCTAGTTTTAAATCCTATTCATGTCTTAATCTCTGTCATCTCTGAGAGAACCTAAACCTCCAATCTCAGATATTAGATAAAATTTTCAGTTTCAAATGCGTTGTGTTTCAGTCCCACCACATTGCACAGTAAGTGTGGGAAAACTCATGGAATAGCCCTTTCAGACAATAAGTTTTTGTTAACTTCTTCATGTCTCCTCTGTTAGAATGGACTGAACTGGTTTAGTGCAATTTCCTTGTTATTTAGACTATGTGTCAACTGTTTATAGCCACGGTGTTTATGCAACAGCCCTGAGGATCACCAGAAACCAACAGAACCTCGCTGGTAAGACCATACCATTTGTGTGCCTCAGGGACACCATGCTTGCGTAAGGATGGATCAAACAAATAGAGAATATCCTTCAAATAGCTTCCAGGGCAGCATTTTCTAATAGAACAATAGAAGAAGAAAAGTAGACATTGAACTAAAGTTTTAAGTCATCCTTGTGGATGCACAGCCAGTGGACTCACAGCCAGTTCAAGGTGTCACGTGACTTAATATAGTTCAGGGAAAATCCAGAAGGCCATCTTGCAGTAGCCTCATATAAAACTAGTGCTGACCCAGTCCTCTGCTTGGTGTTTTGGTTTGGTTTGGTTTTTTTTCTGAGTCTCTTGTCTTTCCTCATCACTTCCTTTTTCCACATACAGAGTCGTCTTGAACTTTAGGCACATTTAGCCTGGGAATCCACTGGCACTGACCAACCTCAGAACTGAAAAGCTTCATCAGTTTAAGGGAACACTGGATAGACAGATTAAGTACTGGATTGTAACACATGCTAAAATAAACCACCACACACAAGAGCTCTGAGAGGTTACAAGGGTTGAGATATTACTGCTTAGGCTATCACAACATAAGAAGGGTTTTCAGCAGACAGACTAGTTACCTAATGAAGCCTCGTGCAGAAAGATGACAAGCAACATCAGGAAATCAACTCAATATGGCAATATATATACAAGATTACACATGAAAATAAAAGAAAAATAATTGTGGCTTTCTTAACTCCAGCTGCACATTGGGGAAGGTTTAATGTGTTATGCACAGCAACCAGACTCATGTGAATAGTGAGTTCAAGAAGCTTGTTCCAAAAGATGAACATAGCTTGCATTCCCTAAATAGTTTTTACTCCCTGGGCTACCCATTCACTTCACAGTACAAAAGAAAACGAAATAATTCAGAGTGTCTCAGCTTTTACTTGACTTACAAGGTCGTGGATTTGTCTTGAAGATTTTAACTGCCCTTAGGCAGGGAAAGGGGGCTTAATGAAGGACCAAAGCAGGACAAACATATATTCAGTGAAAAGTCATAGTACATCACAGGCCAGGTGTTTGGGTTCATTGTGGTGCTGAAGAGGAAAAGAGAGCTTTTCTATATTAAAATGGTTAAGTTTTAGAAAAAAACTCTCACTACAGATGTTTCTTTCAATATTGAAATAGTACATCCACATAAACTTGTAATTTAAAAACTTTTTTCAAAGTTATTCTTCAGGTGAATTTATACTTTTAATGCTTTTAATTCTATCCCATAAATCACTGTGTTTCTTTTTAATTTCACTTTCAAATTGTGTTCTTCAGTTCACAGACTAACAAAATAAATTTCCATTTTGAATTCTCACAACTATTTTTTGTATGCAGTGTCTTT